TTGTGCCCTGCTGTTTGGACTCTCAAGCTCCAAAACTGGTGAGCTAAATATAATCCTCTATACATCCGAAGTAGCCTGTGTTGGGTATTTCATGGCAGTAACAAGAAATAAACTGATAAGTTTATTCTCTTCTATGTGTACAGTACTGAGGGGACACTAGGGATAAATTTGTTGTTCAGGGGACATTTCAGCTATGTCTACCGGGTACAGGCCAGCGAACCTGCTAAACAGCCTACAATGCCCAAGACAGCCCTTCACAATAAAGAACTGCCCCCTGGAACACATCAATATTTCTGCTTCTTAGGACAAACGTTGCCTGCAGCTGCTGTCAGACTTACTGCTATGGTGGAGCCTCTTCCAGCTTCTCTTTTGCTCCCTGTGAAAATCAGCATTCACATTGTTCTTCTCTGCTTCCGCTTACTGAATGCCTCTGAGAAGTATAAACATCTGCAGCTCCCAGGAGCCATTCTAAAACCTTCTTCTTTAGGGGGCCAAATCCAAGGCAGTCCCACAGCTTTTTATCATCTCAATTACCTATGACCTGAGAGGTCCTTCTGCCTCCATAGAGGCCACAGAGCTGGCTTTCCTAGTCTTCACTCTCTTCCCAGGACTTACATTGTGGTCAATTTGCATTTGCATATCCACACTTCCAGTGTGTGTTCAGGCTACTTCCTCCTCTCACCAGGACCCTGCCCGGTCATCTGCTCATATATTAGCTGGGAAATACAGTGTGCCACTGAGTCAACAAAGTTGCTGATGTCCTACCAACAGGCTGAGAAAGAAAATGGCCAGCTGATGTTTTGATTTCAGTGTCACTGTTTGAACTGTAACACATTATTGAGACAGTAAACAGTACAAAATGCAGATGACAAGAAAAATCATTGAAAGTAACAACACAGAAACACTAATTGCAGTAACACACCTAACAACTGTCAAATATTGATATTAGAAAAGTTAGAACAATGATGTTCATTATCCAAACATCTGTTCCATAAAACCTGGTGAGAGGAAGGGAGGGGCAGGAGAAAAGAGAAAGAAAGGAGGACGGGAAACTTCATAATTCTAGTCAGATCAATTATACTTTTACAAATTCAATATTCAGAAATGTAATTGCTCATTTGACCTACATAGGGTTCAGATTATTAGAATAGCTTTATTTTCATAGTTTTTGAATAAATCATGTCACACCTGCCTCCATCTCCTTAAAATATGCGTAAGGGTTTGAACTAAGAAATAAAGAAATCAGCCATAAGACAGCCCAAAGTATGATTAAAGGCGTTGATTCTGGTGCCAGACTCCCAGGGTTCAAAATCAAGCTCCACCTGGGGTCCTGGAATTGCGATCACTTCGCTTAATCTTTTTGCTTTTCATTTCTCATCTCTAGATTATAAGTAATAATACTCATCTTACAGGGCTGTTAGAAATACCATGTACATGGTATGTGATTAATACCATGAACTTGTTTAGCAAATAATTCATATTCTTTTAAAATATTAATTACACAACTAGGCTCTTAAGAATCAAAATATTCCCCCAGGCACAGGTTAAGTGAGCTTCCCACTCTCATCAAATAAATGTGCTGAGAACAGCTAAGGTCAAAATTGGTAACTGTACTTAACTCACTCTAGGGAGAAAAATGATCTAATAGATTGAACTTCTGAAATGGCCAGAGCGAAAGAGAAAATAATAAGGAAAAAGATGAAAATGCATGAACTACTTTTCTTTGTTTTTCTTCTTGTAAAGATACTGTACAGAGGGGTTATAGTTACATGAGTAAGGTAATGAGTACATTTCCTATCTAGCATTGTTACTCCCTCCCTTGTTTTTCCCATACTATCCCTTCCTTCCTCACCTCCACAACTCCTCCCTCCCTGCCCCCAAGTTGTAAGGTTCATTTTCAACAAGGTATCTTATATGTCTCATTGTAACAGTGGGTCAATCTGTATCCTTATTTCAGCATTTTGCTATTTCTCTTCCCTGCCCCAAATTAGAAAAAAATGCATATACAAGATGCAGGGCACTGGAATCAAATGCAGTACGGCCTCCATCAGAAAGAATGATACCACCCCATTTGTTAGGAAATGGAAAGACTTGGAATAAATTATATTAAGAGAAGTAAGCCAGACCCAAAGAATCATAGTCCCAAGGTTTCCCTTATTTGCAATAACTAGTGTATGTCTAGGATAATCTTACCAGACAAGCAGAAACCGTCAAAAGCTATGTACATATGACTATATAAGACGAGGCTAAGTGAAATGAATCCCAAGATACAGACACAAGAAGTTTTATCTTTGTTGCTGTTGTTTTTAATGTACTATGTGATTTCTTTGTTTCTTTTGTATGTTCTTCCCCCTAACTACTTTTTTTGTGGCTGTCAGCCATAAGGCTTGCCCAAGGCTAGTGCAACACTACTTTGAGCCACAGCTCCACTTCCAGTTTTCTGGTGGTTCATTGGAGATAAACAAATTGTTTAAATTGGGATACAGGTGGACCCATTGCAACAATGAGATGTACAAGATGTTAGGTGGAAAAACAAACTTTACAACTTTGGCAGGGAAGGGAGAGCAGGAATGGTAAGGGGAAACAAAGAAAGAGGCAACAATGCTTGATAAGAAATGTTCTCATTACCTTGCTCTTGTAATTGTAACCCCTCTGTATGGTATTTTCACAATAAAAAAAAAACTTTAAAAAAAGTCTCAAGGGGACTTTTTTGCCTGAGCTGGCTTTGAACCACAATCTCAGCCTCCTGAGTAGCTAGGATTACAGGCATAAGCCACCAGAGCTGGCTACTAACTACTATTTACTGATTAACAATAGTAAAATTAACAATATATAGAAAATAAATAATACTGGCACATCAAACTGGCAAGGATAACATGAAAATATTCACAAAACCCATTAAAAGCCCCTACTGGTGCAGTAAGGACCCTCAATGGCTCTTAATAATCAAGTCTTAAGCTCCTAAGACCACACTGTGGACAAGACAACCATACATGAAACCATTTGGTTTACAGATCAGGGAAGTGACGTTTTAATGTTAAGATCAGTTTTTGGGGTTTTTTTTTATTGTGAAAATACGGTACAGAGGGTTTACAATTACATAGGCAAGATAATGAGTACATTTCTTATCAAGCATTGTTAATTACTCAATTTTTTGCCAAATAAAAACAAATTCTAACCTACCTTTAAAAGAAATAAAAAAGGCCTTGTTTTCTAAAAAGCTAAATCAATAAATAAAGAAGGACAATACACTGTAGTAAAGGTTCCAAACTTAAGATCTTCAAGATTCACAAAATCAAAGAGGAAAAGCCTTTGTTGTGGAAGGAAGGACAACCAAGCTGGCAGGACTTGAAGGGAAAATGAGAAAACAAGAGAATGTAGGTAAGTAGCATACTACTCAGGCTGTATGGTTGAGATATAGAGCAAGCTGCAGTGCAGAAGTCCCTGAGGACAAGAGCTGACACAAGTTTCATCAAGTCAGAGGAGTAAGTAAGTAATGAACAACTGAAAACACCTGTTTTCTTTTTCTTTTTTTTTTTTTTTTTGTGCAAGTCATGGGCCTGAACTCTGGGCCTGGGCACTGTCCCTCAGCTCTTCAGCTCAAGGTGAGTGCTTTACCACTTGAGCTACTGCATTACTTCTGGCCTTTTCTACTTATATGGTGCTGAGGAACCCAGGGCCTCATGCATGCAAGGCAAGCACTCTACCACTGAGCCACCTTCCCAGCCCCACCTGTTCTCTTTATAAGAGTAGGAATAGTAGTTTTATTTACATCATTAGAATAAAAGAAGAGCTAGGAGTTAAACCCCCTAAGCACCTTAAGCAAATAACCCCCCTAACACTAGTTAACAAGTTAAGGTCTATGCTGATACAATGTTTCCAGGCCCCAATTGTCCTGGGTGAGTGAGAGTGATCTCCTGTGTACAATGTTGGCAGATTCATCAAAACATTGGCAACCTTAAGACCTCTCAATTTAAAGAGACAACCAACAATTAGAATATGCAGAAAGAAAAAAGAAGTTAACAACATAATAATATTGTCATTATTTTTTATGAGGATACATTTCTAATACTGGAATAAGGATATTTGGAAAACAAAAACAAAATACCTACCTACACCAACTTATAAAAGTGTTCTTCCACAATGGAAGGGGTGACACTGACAAAAATACATTGTAAAGCCCCCCTTTGTGCAACCAAGTAAAAATAATAATTTTCTTAATTAAAATAAAATTGTTCCACCATGCTCAAGCAAATGTGTGCACGCGCGCACATGTGCGCACACACACACACACACACACACACACACACACACACAGTCAAGTAATACAAAGTGCAGAAACAATTCATAAGATTACAAGAGATAGTTTAAAACTGGACATAACTGTGTAAAATAGTAGTTATTAATTTCACATACAGTCTTAATTTTTTAAGTTGTAATTATGCTATTTTATGCTAATAGGCCTCAGACCTCTCACACTAATTTTAAAAACTCTGTGCTTACGTTTGATTGAAAAGCAATTCTGAGAAATGGTAAGTCCGAGCTGAGTCTATTTCTGGCATTCCTTTTCCCCACAGCCCTGCCCTTCAGTCCTGGGACATCATCACTAGTTTCTCCAGCTGAATGCTTTCCAGAAGACACACTTCCGCCCCCATGCAGAGTAATGGTCTTAATGGAAGTAACTCTCAGGAACTGACAAAAGCATAAGACTATCTACTACAACTAATCTTCCACTGCTCTTCCACAAACACCCCTCCTTCTAGGGCTTTCTAGGGTCTAACAGGTCTAGAATAGCTTCTTTCTCCCAATCACACAGCACAATGTCCATATGACATTAAAAACCCATTATACTCAAGACATCTGTGTAAATTACTGTATGGTGTTCCCAATAACCAGGATCAGATATTAGTAGATGTGGAGACAAAAAGCAGTAGTTTAAGTTAAAACATTTTCTTGAGCCCTATTTTGACACCACAGTATTTGGAACATGAGATACCTACCTGTCAGTGATATGTTATGAGTCTCCAAGGGAAGGTTAGAGTACTTGGCTATCATTTCATCCCGAACAGGCAGACTTGTAAACTCTGAATCTGAAAGAGAAAGAACATGTACCAACACTCAGTACTTTGTTCAGTGTCACCCCTTCAATGTTGATCAGCACATACTGTATCCATAACTGCTTTGTTGAATGGGAACAACTTACTTTTATTGAAGGTAATAAAAATATTTTTAAACAGAAAGTACTTTAAAACAGCAAAGTAAGCAGGGTACTGGTGGCTCACACCTGCAATCCTAGCTACTCAGGAGGCTGAAATCTGAGGATCACAGTTCAAAGCCAGCCCAGGCAGGAAAAGCTGTGAGACTTACCTATAATAAACCTCTCAGAAAACCAGAAGTGGCGCTGTGGCTCAAATGGTAGAGTGCTAGCTTTGAGCTGAAGAGCTGAGGGACAGGGCCCAGGCCCAGAGTTCAAGCCCCATGACAAACAAAAAAGAAAAAGAAAAAGGCAAGTTATAGGGAATATCTGGGGGTGAGTGGATGGAGTGAGAATGATGGACGAGGTGATATTGATCAAGGGGGTTTGTACTCACAAATTAACGTACTGTATTGAAACCCCTTTGATGACTATTTCAAGACAGTATGTTTAGTTTAAAAATAAAATAAATACAAATCTAAAGTAAATAAACTGATATATTATATAATACAAAAATATTTAATAATGTATTCAGCTATTAAATGTGACCCAATTGTTGCAGTTTTATTTTCTCCTTCTTATTTAAATTTACAAAGCTGATTTATTTTTATTTCTATTTATTTTTTTTGTTGGTCATGGGGCCTGAACTCTGGGACTGGGCACTGTCCCTCAGCTCTTCAGCTCAAGGCTAGTGCTCTACCACTTCAGCATCAGCCCCACTTCTGGCTTTTTTTGTTTTTGTGGTACTGAGGAATTGAACCCAGGGCCTCATGCATGCAAGGCAAGCGCTCTACCACTGAGCCACCTTCCCAGCCCCAAAGTTGCTTTTTTTTTTTCAGTTAAGGGGTAGGTTTATTCATCGTTCCAGCTGGCACCAGGCCATGTTGGCCCTCCATGCGGCTGGGAAAAGACCTAGGAAAGAGAGCCTCTGGGCCTGGGCTAGGCCTCATCTAGGGTAGGGGCGGGGAAAGGTGTGGCCACATGGAATCCAGATGTGAACTCAGCGGCTGATTTTTTTAAGATGGATTTTTTCCCCTTGAATAAAAGCTTCATACAATTGCAAGTTCTTTACAAAACATAAAATAGAAGTGAACACTGAGAAATGAGGTAAGAATGACAGAAAACAGAAAGAAGAGGCAAGAAAGAAGTACAGAGAGGGAGGAGAGGGAGAAATTAAACTGTAGGTGCTGGGCACAGCAGGACAGAGAAAACAAAATGGCTGCACAAGTTGTGTTGTTGTTTGTTTTCTGACTACCCTCTTCCCCTTTCCTGGCACTTCCCTCCTCTTTAAAAAAAAAAAAAAACAAACAGGTTTGCATTTCTCCCTCTCTTCTTCCCCTCAAAGCTTTATTTTTGTTTTTATATTGCTTACTGTTCTCCTCTGACCTTAGGGTATCAAACTTTATCTCCTGCAAAAACTAACCCAATTCCACGGGATGAGTCATGGGGGAGGGAAAGCTTATTATTATCAACTTGGCTGCATTCTTCAAGCCTTCCACTCAATTTAAATTAAACTCATACATTCCTTACTGCACTCTAAAGAAAAATACTGTGCTCAGAAATTTGGGTGCAAGATTGGAATTCTAGACCTTTGCTTTGCAGTATTAAAAAAAATGTTATCAGGTGGACCCATTGCAACAATGAGATGTACAAGTTGTTATGTTGAAAAACGAACTTTGCAAAGGAGGAGGCAGCAATGCTTGATAAGAAATGTACTCATTATCTTGTCCATGTAATTGTAACCCCTCTGTATGGTATTTTCACAATAAAAAAAAATGTTTCCAAAGCTGATCCTCTTGGTTGTTTTGGTTTTACAGGTGGCTTTTCCAAAAACCAAAAGATGCGCGTAGCAAAATCTAATTCTCTACAAGGCTGTGCTTCAAATGTTCAGTCATTTCTAATATTGCTTTGGACACTGGCATGTGCTTTTTTTTGGGTCCAGTCATGGGCCTGAACTCTGGGCCTGGGCGCTGTCCCTCAGCTCTTCAGCTCAAGGCTAGCTCTAGGGACTTGAGCCACAGTGCCACTCTGGCTTTTTTTTCCTGCTTAGGTGGTGCTGAGGAATCGAACCCAGGGTAAGCACTCTACCACTGAGCCACCTTCCTAGCCCCTGGCATGTGCTTTTTTTTTTAATAGTGTCATCTTTAATAACACACTTAAAGCACTCCAGCCTCTGAAAGTGATTATATGTCTGAGTTTCTCATTGGACTATCCAGAACCGAAAACCTATTTTCTACCCACATACAATATTCATGTATACTCACTGTCACATCCTCTCTTCTCCCTCCAACACACTGCTAAAAAAGGTTCCCATCAACATTCTTATTCCTAATGAAAATGATTTTTCCCAGACCTGAGCATAGATCACTCAGAAACTGTATTAAAGAAAAATTATCTCAGGAAAGTCAAAGATGATGTCACTTGCTTATGACCAGATGAATGGGAAAGAAAGAGCTGTCTGTGAATTTTGTAAAACATTTAAATTTTGGTATCTTAAGGAAGAACTTCATTAGGATCCATTTTAGAAGTAAGAGACAAAAGGAATGTAAGCATACCTTGAACAAAAATGTAAACTAAGAAGTTAAAGGAATAGGGGGAAAAAATAGGGGATTCTACAGAATTCAAGAATACAGTAGGCATTGCATTTATTTTATTTTATTTATTTATTTAGCCGTAGTGAGGTTCAACCTCACATTAAATAGGTAAGCACTCTTCCACTTGAGCTATTTCCAGCCTCTTGTTCTTTTTTTTTTTCCAGGTAGGGTCTTACGCTTTTGCCTAGAACTTGCTGCCACTGCTAGCTCTTCTATTTCTGAGATTGGGTCTTGCTAACTTTTTTTCCCACCTTTAGAGGGCCTTGAACTGTAAAGATACTCCCTTCTCTGCCTTCCAAGTAGCGGAGATTACAGGCATGTACTACCGTGCCAGGTGTACATGGGTGTTTTTGCCACTATCTGTAAAAAAATGCTAGGTAGAAATTTTCCAGAAATAGTTAAGAAAGGGGTGATTATGATCATTTCAGGAATGCATATTAGTATGGTCAATGTTCAGGCAACATTCCTGAGCTGCATCTTTTTTCAAAAGAATGAGGCTTTTGGTGGAAGCTAGCCATTTCCAATTGTTAGTGCATATATTAAAAGCACAAGCAGACATGCTTGAGCCTGACGCCATCTTTACTTGCCCTAACCTCATATGCCCTTGAAAGCGTCAGCCTCCACCAGGCTCCACTTACCACTTAACAAGCAGGCCCCATGGGCAAAGAATCCTGTGTAATGATTGCTATTTTTGCTTTGGGATGAGATCCTTTCTGAGAGGCAATGTATACAAATAAATGCCGTCGTGGAAAAGTAGGGCAAAGTGGAGCTAGAATAGTCAAAGTGAAAAGCTCTTTGGTTGGACAAGGTGTTTTTTAATAAAAAAATAAAATAAAAACTGAGACTGAAAACCTCATTACTTTCAGTGGGAGGACAGCTGGCAGAAAGCTGACTTAGCTAACACTGACGTGTAAAAGAAATTGGCAGAAGATTCCAGCAGAGGTGGTTTGAATACTTCCCTGAAAGGATTAAGCTGAGTCACCAAAAAGAAAGATAAAATAGGAACACAGGGATTTTTTGTGTCCCAATCCAACTTCTGCCAGTGACTTGCTTACTTGGGGGTTTCACAATGGGATCCAGTGAGCTCAGCGCTTTCATGAGAACAAGTCTCCACCACAAACACTTCTATAATGCTGGGAGACTTGGAGCGCCCGAAAAGACCACCAGGGACCAAAGATCAATGCAAGCGGCAATGAGTCATTTATTGATGAGCTTGAGCACGGACCCCTCTGTGCATTGATGTCAGTGCAGACGAGAGGCCCCCAGCACAGGGTTACAGCACTTTTTATATGTTCTTTGGTAGGGGTAAGGCCTCAGTATGTATTGGCAACAAATCAATACACCACGCGGGAAATTTAAATCATAATTTTAGCGGATGATTGGCGCAATACAAAGCGGGAAAAGCTAATACAAAGCTAATAATCGGTCAGGCTAGAGGACTGTTGTGCTCTAAACTAATTGGACGGTACTTCTAGGGTGACTTAGGGGAAGTGGTTGCCAGATGCCACTATCTCTGATCCTGGGCCTGGGTGGGAGTGGTTGCCAAATGGCCACTATCTCTGATCCCAGGCCCGGGGGAAGTGGTTGCCAGATGGCCACTATCTCCGATCCCAGACCCGGGTGGGGAGGGGGGGTCTGGAATGAGTACTTTGTTATGTACTCCCTGCCGGAGGGTCATTAACTTCAGTTCCAGATCCAGGAGTGTCTGGGGCTCGAGAGGGGTAGAATAGCAACTGCATTCTAATACAAAATGGCAAATACAGGTCTATCTGGATATATAGATATAGATATAGATAGATATATAGATATATCTCGCTTCTCACTTCCAGGAAGGATGGACTAAGAAAGCTGTACATGTACTGAATCCTGATGCTAAGATTATACCCCACCCACCCTTTTCTTGACCATTTCTAAAAGTTTTGCATCTGGCATTCTCTTACAGATGCAAAAACAAAGGCAAAAACCACAAGAAAGTGTAACAATCAATGACTGTTCTAGAGGTAAGTAATGTTCTCCTCCTTCGTCCAGGGACATGGGGCATGACAGCTCTACACCCACCTTCTACCTGTGAGGGCTTCCTGAGAAATAGCATAACTGTCTCTACTTTTCTACATTTTTAGATATTTTTCACATGCATTTTGTAACAGACAACACTAGATGGGCTCACAATTTATGTCATTAACACTTTGAAAACAAATGGCATATATGTGCTGTAACAGCTACTAAAAATACTAAGAGAACATTTGAACTCACTTTACCTTAGGGCTTCCTTTAATTGAAGCAAATTTGGAGACAAGGAAAA